TCTTCCAACAAGCGCTTAAAGAAATTTTTTTTTTCAAAATCACCCACACCCCTCCCCCCTATTTTGAGTAAAAAAAGTTGTAGAAAGAAGAAAAGTCAGTAGGTGTACCCACTTAAAAAAAAACAGCCTACCCCATTGGCTCAAGATTTGGATCTGCCAGTGGGTCGTATGGAAGGCTGCAAGGAGAATTACATTGCATTCTGGGTATGTTTTATCATTAGGTGTATCCATTTGAATTTGCTTTTGATGAAGAGAACTGTGAGTTACTTCAATGTGGCCGCAACATCACCCATATGAAGGACCTTGCCAGAACGTTTTTTCAAGGCTCACAAAATGATTCGCGGCCATTCTTTTTGTACATTGGGTTTTTTGATCCCCATCGTTGTGCTGGAAATAAGTATGGTGAGTACTGTAAATGTTATATTCTAAATATGTTACGTTTTTTATGACGAGATCTTGATGTTAAACCTGAGCAAACTTAATTTTTTTAAAGCAAAGGCATGAGATTCGAAGGCGCAGATCATATTGAAGGGCACTACAGATTTTCAAACATATTCCAGAAATTTGTGATGATGTTAAAAAAGATAATTCCAACATATCAATCTCCAGTAGTCTAATATCATGATCACTTTTCAATTAAGTACTTGAAGAGAACATGAGATTCTCATGCACAATTTGTTCATCTTGCAATATCACTGCTTGAACACCAAAAAGATTGTATTTGTTTCAAAATGTTGAACATGACTCTGCTATTGCTTGTGGTTGCAAACTAGGTCAATATGGTTTCCCCTCTCCCCAATCTCTTTCTACTCTTAGAGACTTCTTGGCATTCAAACATTCAGTTACTAAACACTCGATGGATAATCTAGCACAGCTTTCTATCAAGGTGAACAAAAAAGGAGTAAAGAAAGAGGCTTTGAATTTAAAAACAAGTGATTTTAAAGAACAAAATGTTACTAAATATCTGCACATAACAAACAGTTTTATTGATCAAAATAATATCATTTTCCAGCCCTCTTGATTGAGTGGAAGGTGAGAGAGCTTCAATTATCCTGCATCTATTAATTGGTTAATTTGGTTAGGCAGGGGACATTAAAGAACCCACTCACAAGATTACTGTGATGTGGTCTGGCCTGTTTACTGGGAATTGGGGGGGAGGGGGCATCTTCAAATAAGTTTCCTTCG